TGTTTACCAGCCTGGGGATGATCCTGGAGTAGCAACCTACCATCACCAGCACGGGAATCACAAGACCCAGCACATTTGTGGTGAACAGGTTGTAACGCTCCGAGACTTTGTTGTTCTCTTTGTTCCAAACACAACACAAGGCTTGTTTTTTTTTCGTGTTTTATTGATGTGATCTCTTTAGATATGGAGGAATTAACTAACAGTCTTAAAGTCAGCAATCTGATCATGAGAAGTGCAAAATAAGAAAAGCAGATTTCACTTCCTGTTTGTCCTTAAGTGAGGTCATTACAAATACTTCAAAGAACAACACAGCATATGGTGGTACAAATTCACACCTTTACAAAATGACTGCTGGTTTTTATATAAAGTACAAGAGACTTTATTAGTATCATTTTCGTTACTATTGTTGTTTGTTTCTTCCTCTTCTTGGTCTCACTGTCGTACAGCCCGGCTGCTCATCATAGATTCTACACTCACAGGACACTTTAGTAGAAATGTTCTCTATTCTGATGCTCACTGTGAACTTTAGCAGGTTGACTTGACCACGACTGCATGTCTGAATGCTCATTTTCATTTTCTGAAGTACATACACCATCCCCTTTGGCACTGCAAACCATCCTGTCTTCAACGTCCCTTAAGTCAACTTTCTTTGACATTTTGATGCTCACCTTGAACTTCATTGGGTGAACTTCACCATGTCTGCATGTAGTGACACAATCTGTTCAGTTTTGCAACAGTTGTCACTCATATCCTTTGAACCTTTTATTAACATACTGTATGTGAAAATATGAAAATTCCAAGTATTTGAATTCTACATGGGAAAAAAACCCATTATTTTTGGATTACTGAACTGTTTCCAGGTAATATTTGATGCAGTGGCAAAACTATTCCATTTGTACACCTAAAGGACTCATCACGTCTTTATTCTTTTTTTAAAAAAGAATTAATTTAATTTAAGGACATGAAGGGGCTTGTTACTGCTTATCCTAAAACATACTTTCACCAGACAAAGGAGTTGTATTTTTCAGCAAAACTGGCCTTTTGTGTTAATATGAGTAAAAATAAAGAGACACTGAAAAATGTTTTCAGATAAAGAGTCTTTTTGTTTATTTCGTTTCAAAAAATAATACTTGTTAAAAAAAATCTATAATACTAATCTTTACTAACAAAAATAATTCGAAAGCTTAACTTGATCAACTTTCCCTGAATATTCTAACTATTGATAAAGTCTACCTCCACTAATGTTCCTCTATATGACATCATGCTGCTGTTTTATGAATGTGAACAACTACCTCCATCTCAAAGAACTTTTGATCTTCTTTGTTTTCATCACTGTGTACAGAATTTGTCATTACAATAACAATGAGAAACAGAAGAACACGCTCGCTGCAAATATTCTTCTCAAAAGCAATAATGTACTTCTCCAACATGACAGTCCACTTTATGACCTTCATGTGACATGAGTTCGAGATCTGCAGTATCATTTATTGTCTTAGCAAAGCAATAATACAAAATCCGGATAACAGATGATTGGATGCCTGACTCCAATCAGCTCCATTGGTAAACAATGACAAATACAAGGATCCACAACATAATACTACAAACAAAATAACAATATAAGGCTGAAAATCAGAAAACAACGTGGAAGTAGAGAAAATTACGATTCACACATGCAGCTATTTCACATCTTCTTTTGCGCAAAGAAAATATAAAACTGTTGTACGCTATTTTTGGTGCATTTCTGCAAAATAGCAAACTCATTAAAAATGTGTGAAGAACAAAGCAAACTGTTACAAGTTGCTATAAACAGCAGGTTCAGTTTAATGGACCATCTAATGTAAGTCAGCCTGAGCAAAACAAGGAAGGGCATCACATAGTAAGATACTTGAGATTCTATAAAGCAGTTAGCAGTGCTAACATGTTAATTTTATAAGTAGGCAGAATTTACTTCTACAATCTTATGGTCAGAATAAAATATAAACCAATGTAAATGCAAAGGGTCCAAAAGTGTACAGAGACATTTTGAAGGTGACTCACAGGTGAAGAACACTGTGGTATTTGTCAGATAGAAGTGACCAAATGAACAATACGAACATGATGCACGGTCTGCAGTAATAACAGGGTGAAACATTCATGACAAAATACTTACAACTGCCCTCCACCTCCTACAGTTTAAAGGAGGAGGTGATTTCAGAGCCCCTGGACATAACTGAGCTCCTCCTGAATGAGCTGTCTGTCAGATCTCTGCTGTAACCAGGCATCAACCTTTTCAGCAGCTGCAAGGCTCGTCTCATAAACTTCTCTCCCACAAAAGCATAAATGATGGGATTCAGACAGCAGTGAGTGTAAGCTAAGGCCTCGGTCACTGTTA